CCAGCTGGTGTGGTTCAGTGGTTGAGCATCAACCCAGGAACCAAGAGGTTGCCAATTCGATTCCCAGTCAGGGCACATGCCCAGCATGAGGGCTCGATCCTCAGTGGGGGCCATGCAGGAGCAGCCAATGGATGACTTCCTCTCTCACTGATGTTTCTCCTCTATCCCTTTCCCTTTCTCTCTCTCTCAAAAAAAAAAAAATCAATGAAAAAAATATTATTAAAAACAAACAAAACACATGACTTTACCCAGGTACAGAGAACTATTGAATGTATGTCCAGTTTCTCTTCTGCATACCTCATTCCCCTTTCCACCTTTTATAAAAGTCTTTAAAAATCACATAAGATTTTATTTATTTTAATCACCCAAGATTTTAATTTTTCTTCTTCTTATTATTCTTTTTTGCACTTGGAAATGTAATTAAATCACACTCCTTGCCTTAAATAGGCTGTTTCTTTGATTTGGTGCCGTGTGGGGCATGCCATCCCTTAGGACTTTTATTCATAAATGTCTTCAGAATTAGACTGGTGGATAAGGTTCCTGCCTGGCAAGGGTGCTTCATGGTGTCACTGGGAGTCATCAGTCATAATGGAGGGGCCTCGGGAACTCTGTGAGCGTCCTAACCCTCCAGCCAGGAGTCGTGCGGTGTGGCAGTCCTGGGCCGTGAGGAGTGTGGCCTCCTTGATGGGCAGGTGGCCTGGGCTTAACCAAGGCTGAGCCCCCTAACCTGGTCTCCTATCTATTCCCTGCCTCCCCCCAGGTTTGGAAATGACGTGCAGCACTTTAAGGTGCTCCGAGATGGAGCTGGAAAGTATTTCCTCTGGGTGGTGAAGTTCAATTCTTTAAATGAGCTGGTAGATTATCACAGATCGACATCCGTCTCCAGAAACCAGCAGATATTCCTCCGGGACATAGAACAGGTGCCACAGGTAAGCCTCAGAGGGGGAGGTGGGTCATCCTTAGCAATGAAAACAGCTCCTCACGCAAGCAGGTGCCTCTTCAAAGGATTGCTTCTGCGGCTTCCACACTCAATGATCAAAGTGTTACCCTTAATTCATGCCAAAGATTTGAATCTGAAGTAAGTAAAATAAAATAGGTTTGTCTTCTCCAGAGGCGGCTCCTCTGGGCACTGCGTTGCCCGTTGCCCACCTGCAGCCCTAGGAAGGAGGGTCTGTAACACACTCTCCAGCACCCTTTCCCTGGAAGCATATTGTGCGGAGAGTCCTACCTGGGAGGGAGGGAGGCTCACTCTCCCTTCTCTGTTCCAAGTCCTGAAACCCTACCATGTGCCCACTGAGCACACCTCGTTCAGTCAAGCTCTGGACTTTCTGACCCTATAAAACTGTCAGGATTTTACAAGTGATACAGTGGTAGGAACTGAAGCATTTTCCAATCCTGGGGTGTTAAACCAAACCTGATGGCCATTTCCAAAGTTCTTTCCCCTTAAAGCAGCACTTGCCACTCTCTACTTAATAATACGGCACAACTGGCCACCAAAGTGAGACCTGCCCTAATCATTTCTGAGCATTGGTGAAAAGTCGCACTGTCCCATGTAAACTTAGAACATGTACGAATAAAGGGCGGGGGGGGGGGGGGTTTTACTGCGGGAAATGTAGAAAAGTTGGCACTCCTCTGTAGGCCCCCCATAACCAGTCCCACTCAGGACTGGCCACGCTCAGGACGCAATGTGTGTGTTTCTCCCTGCCCCTCCTCTGCAGCAGCCGACGTACGTCCAAGCCCTCTTTGACTTTGATCCCCAGGAGGATGGAGAGCTGGGGTTCCGTCGGGGAGACTTTATCCACGTCATGGATAACTCAGACCCCAACTGGTGGAAAGGGGCTTGCCACGGGCAGACCGGCATGTTTCCCCGCAATTACGTCACCCCCGTGAACCGGAACGTCTAAGAATCAAGAAGAGATTATTTAAAGAAAGTGAAAAATTTAAACACATACAAATGAATTAAATCCATGAGCTGCCTCCGACAGCAGCCTGAGCAGGAGCTCAGAACACCTGGCGGGGTCACCTGGTGACCCTCTCACTTTGGTTGGAACTTTGGGGGGTGGGAGGGGAGTTGGATATAACAATGCCAAAACTTACCTATGAATTAAGAAAGAGTTTTTATTACACATTTTCACTGCTGCTCCTAGTTCTCCTCCTTTGTCCTTTTTTCATCTTTTTTCTCTTCTGTCCATCAGTGCATGACGTTTAATGCCACATATAGTCCTAGCTGATGCCTATAATAAAAGAAAAGAAACCAAGTGGGCTGGTATTTTCTCTATGCAAAATGTCTGCTTTAGTCAGAATGACTGAAAGAACAGCCATTGCTGGGTTTCCATAGAGACGCGGGGGGTGGGGGAGTGACGGCTTACTCTGTGCCAGAGGGGGCAGGACGGGACTCTGCCCTCCAGCCCCGACCATGTATTTTGTCAGAGTTGGACATAGAGGGGCAGAAGGAAGGCGGTTGCCCCCGTGCCCTCCTGAGAAAGTTAAACTGCAAGCCCGTCTCTTTCCGGCATTGCTTTCCCTCCCGAACGGCATCACTGAGCATGTTGTTTTCCTAGTGCCTTTTTCCTTACTTCACGGGTCGCTTCTGAGTGATGTTTTCTGTTTGTTTGGTTTACAATAAGTTAAAGACAGGCCAGAGCTTTTCAGCCCGTGCGTCGCCTAGTCTGTATAAATGCCTTTCCCTGGGGGGGGAGGGGGGGGAGCACAGGTGGAGAAGAGCGGGCGCAGGCAGAAGTGGAGGGCGTGGCCTGCTGCCTGTCCCCAGCCAGGAGTCACTCAGGTTCGCCTTTAACACTTGTGAGCCCCGGGAGGTGACAGGAGCGGAGGCCGGTGTCTGGTCGCTGCCCAGGGAGCAGTGTGGCAGCTGCCGGGGCAGGAGGACAGGCTGCAGCTCTGCCCACACTGGACTGGGTGTGGCTGGAAGGGGGTCAGCGTCCTTGACTTTGCCATCTCAGGTGTTGTCTGCCCCCCTCCTTAATCCCCAGAGACCCCTGACTCAAACCCTGGAGCCAGCAAGTTTCAAACACAGGAAAGCCGGAGGAATTTAGACTGTCGCTCTCCCTCGGTCAGGATGCGCCATGTTCCTACATCCAGGATGCAGTGGAAAGTGAGCTTCACTTCATCTTTCTTGCTCTGCAAACCAGGGGTACCTGTTCATGCCTTTTCTCTCTCGTGTCCCCACCCAACCTGCCCAGGTGAGCCTTAGGGCAGCGTTCACGAAGCAGCTGGGTGGTTTTCCTGTCTCCATTCACAGCGGGCTGTGTGTGTAGCTGCTCCACCCCAGCCCCCCAGAACTCAGTGTCTCCGAGAAGCAGGGAGAGCAGGAAGGGAAGACTGGAAATGTAGGCAGGCCGAGTCCACGGAAGAGCTCTCTGTCCGCCTCCTGTGCCAGCTGCTTGCCCCTCGGAGCCATGTGCCTGTGAACTTTCTCCACCCAGTCCCTCCCCACAGCACAGCCGGCCCGGAGTTGGTGGCTGGTGACGGCCTTGGGTTCTGAAGCGGTCGTCGGAGTCTCCCTGGCCTCTGGTCATGGAGCCGGACTCAGAGGCCCAGGAGGTGCCGCTCCTCTGGACAGAATTCGGCCTCTCCTCGCTCCCTCCCTGGTGGTAAAGGAATCTGGCATTCTGCACCTGGACCACGTGATTGTTTTATTTTGGAATTGGTGTATATCATGGAGCCTTGCTGAACTAAGTTTTATGTGTATATATTTAAAAAAAAATCAGTGTTTAAATAAAAAGACCTATGTACTTAATCCTTTAACTCTGCAAATAAAACTTGGTAGTTAGTGATTAACTGTGAATAATAAACCTACAATGACTTCTTCACTCTGTATCTTTTTTTGCCTTCGCCTTAAGATAAAAACCTAAAAACTGTCAGGGAGTCGGGACTCATGTCCTTATTTCTGATTTACCAGCCCCTTGGGGGGTAGGGGGAGGCCAGGATCCCTGGGCCCCTGGAGGAGCGATGCCCACCTGGGCTCTTGAAACACTGGGGGAGCTTGTCCACGATGCAGATTTCCAGGCTCCGCCCTCACTCTAGATTGGGGTGGAGGGCACAACAGGTGTTCTTGTCGTTTCTGATGGAAACCGTAGGCCACACTTTGGGAACTGTGGGGACCAAGAGCACAGCTGACTTGGTTTTTGTTCCTTCACCCACCTCCTCTCCTTCCTCCCCCTCCCCACTAGTGAAAGCCAGGACAGAATGGTCTGTGCAGAAAGCAGTCTTACTTGTTGTTTGTTTGTTTTCAGAGAGGGAGTGGGAGGGACAGAGAGAGAGAAACATCAATGATGAGAGAATCGTTGATTGGCTGCCTCCCCCAAACCAGGCATGGGCCCTAACCGGGAATCAAACCAGGACCTCCTGGCTCGTAGGTGGACGCTCACTCATTGAGCCACACCAGCCGAGCTGTGCCAAAGCACTCTTGATGTGCCAAGTAGCTAAAACATACTTGTCTGTTTTTAGGGCGAGCCTCGGCCCGTTCACCCACACAGCACTGGCTACAGAAGACCAACAAGTAAGATTTGCTTAGAGAGTGAACAGAAAAGAAACGAAACCCAAGGAATTTCCACTTGTATTCTTGGTCTGGTTCCTAAATAGAGCCCAGCACCCGACCTCAGCTGTGGCTGCCCAGCTCAGACGGGCGTTTTCAGTTCCTTCTCCTCAGTGACCATGCGTGAGGGGGGCTCACCCAGCACTGGCCTGCGGGGAGCCGCTGGTCGCGCGGTCCACCTAGGCCCGCTGCTTCGAAGTTGAGCAGAAATCTCCAAAATGGGGCTATTGAAGTGAAAACTTCAGGCAGCCACTGCCAGCCTCCTTGAGGCTCTGCGCTGTTTGACCGATGGCCTCAGAATTTCATGGGGAAATGGCTGCTTTTGTGCAGTCCGCCTGGTTACAGGCTTCTTGGTGATGGCATCCTCCTCCGACCGTGGGGGTGTGATTCCTGGAGAAGCATCTGGGGGGAGCGTTTGGGAAGACTCGGCCACCTCTGGTGACTAAAAGCTACCGGTGGGTGAGTAGCTACAAGGCCTGCCCTTGTCTCTCTGCAGAGTGGCCCTGCCGCAGCTGGAGCTTGGCCGCCCTCCTGGCGCCCCTCAGACTTAGCGGCCTGGGCGCCTGTGACAGGCTCATCTTCCAGCGTGACGGTGGCTCCGACCGGGTGCCCGAGGCGGTCCCACGGCGCCTCTCCTGCACTTGCCCGTTCACCTGCTTACGGTAGGTGGTCTTCCAGTCAGAACGATTTACTTCCCCAGAGTGCCCGGGTAACCAGGAAAAATGGAAGTGGAGTTGTATTTGGGCACCTTGGATGGAAATACTTCTAACTCCTAGACGTGGTTACGTGCAGTGCAGATTCCCCACACCTGAGCCCCTTTACACTGAAGAACAAGAGAGGTTGGACACGCCCAGAGTCGGCCTCAGTTGGGGGCTTAAATGCGGCTGCAGGGGTGACAGGCTCCTCGCTCCAGCCAGAGCCCCGAGGCAGATGAGTGACGTGCTCTCCACCCAATGGCCTGAGTCAAAACCCTAAAGGACCACCTCCCCGCCGTCAGGAAGTAAGTGCCATCTGTGTACCAGCAGCACTGACTCGTGAACAGTAAATGGTGGTGGTGACCCCCCTCGCTACTCGGAGCACTCCAAGCACCTCTCCCAAAGCTGGCGGCGTTGGCTTAAAAGGCACACAGTATCCAGGCCAGAGGGAGACTCCTGGGACCGTCTTTCAAGACTTGGTTCTGGCCCAGCCAGCAAGCAACACTGGCCTCGGGTCTCCAAGGACAGTCTTACTGGTTAATACAGGCGGACCTTGGAGGTGTGGGCGTGGGCCCAGCCCACAGTCAAGCCAGGTGCAGGCTTTTTGCTGGTGGAGGGTCTGTGCCTGGCCCCGTGCCCTGGTCAGAAGTCGGGTTTAGGAGGCAGTCACCCCAGGTGGCCTCTGGGTCTGAATAGCCCCCCACAGGGCCTGCCTCCCTCCCGGACCCCGATGTGGCATGAGTGCCCGAGCCAGGCCAAGTGCCCTCAGGTCTGAAGCCAAAGGGTGAAGGGCTGACCCCTTCCCTTACTCCTCCCCTAACCCCTTCCTGTGCCGCGGAGTCAAAGGATACGGCGCCCCCTTTTCCGTTTAGCCCACGCCAGGCTTCTGTACGGGTGCCCGTGCGTTCGGTGGTGACGGGTGTGTTGTGTGCGAGCTGATGGGAGTGAGAATTCCAGACAAGCAGTGTGGGTGGCCGTCGGCGGGGGGAGCGTGAAGCAGATGGGACTCGGACCAGGTCTCGGGAGAGATTGGTTTGAATAGAACACGGAGACCCAGCCCACGCGGCAGGCGGCACAGTGTTGGCAGAGGGGTGTGGTGGGAGGAGCACGGTGTCCCCTGCAATGAGGAAGAGTCCAGGTGGGTTGGTGGGGCTCGGAGCCCAGCCCAAGCAGTGCCCACGCCCCCTGCTGATGGCAGAGGGTTCCACAGGCCCGGGCGGTGAGCCGCAGGGTAAAAGCTGACTTAGGGGTGCACAGGAGAGACGGGGGAGCCTGGGGGAGGTGTGAGGTGCTCGCTCAGGGGAGCGAGGAGCTGTGCCAACCTCCTGTGGAATTCGCGACATACGCGCCACTTGTAGGCCTGGCTGGGCGTCCGCTTTCTGCTGCTGCTGGCTGGGTGCAGGAGAGCAGGGGAGCCACCAGCTCATCGCGGAGGGAGCTCTTAGTCACAGCACCACCCCGCCCTGACGTCCCGGGCCACACCGGAAACCAGGCAGCAAGAGAGAACCCGGAGAGGCCCAGCTGAAGACGTTAGTTTGGGGGAAGGAAATGGAATTGCTCATCGTGATCGAAAATGCGGGGAAGAGGCACGAGGCCAACGGTCTGGTAGCCGAGGTGGCGGCCCCTGGAGCCCAGCCCCGCTGCCCTTACTATTTGACCCCGTGTCCTTGTTCAGTCACTGGGCAGGTGCGTGTTGAGAAGGTCACACGCTTCGTTCAGGCCTCTGCTCAGATGCGAGTCCCCACTCCGAGAAGCCCTGCCTACATGTGACCAGTCGCCTGGCCTCCAGCACTGCCTTTCTGCACCGCCCGCCTCGCCGCCTCACTGGGGGCGCACATTCTGCCCACCTTCCCCACCAGACTGTAAGCTGCTGGGGGCGGGAACTCGCTCAGGGTTGCATCCCTCGCAGCTGGAAGAGCGCCTGGGACATCCGGGTGCTTATCCATCACCCGAGGTAAGAAAATGTCCCAGGCGCTGCTACAAATGAGGCCCAGCCTGGCCGTCCGCTGGGGAGGCAGCCAGATAATGCCTCGGTGGGGGGACTGGCACGATGGAGAGGAGTGCAGGAGTTGGGGCACATTCAGCAGCAGCCCCCACCTGTCTCAAGGTTGGGGGAGACCAGACAGTTATGCATAAACAGAGAGCTAACCGCTGAACAGAATGGTCGCTCCGTGGAGAGGGAGGGACGCATGCAGGGCAGGAGGCACTGCAAGTTCCAGAAAGGCCTGCATGTAGAGAGGGGGAGAGAGAGAGATCGGGGTCCAAGGAGGAGCTGGCTCAGGCAGGGGCAGAAGCTGACGAAGCAGGGCCCTGTACGCCTCAGGAAGGAGCTGGGGCTTGGGGTCATTTTAAGGATGGCTTTATTGAGATACAATTCACTTGTCACCAAGTCACCCCTTTAAAGTATACCATTCGATGGTGTTTAGCATTAGTCACTGTTATGCAATCAATTTTGGAACATTTATTTCAGAGAGAAGAAGGAAGAGGGAGAGAGAGAGAGAGAAACATCAACGATGAGAAAGAATAATTGATCGGCTGCCTCCTGCACGCCCCCTACTGGGGATCAAGCCCAAAACCCAGGCATGTGCCCTGACTGGAATGGAAACATGACCCTCTGGGTCATGGATTGGCGCTCAACCACTGAGCCACACCAGCTGCGCAATTTTGGAACATTTTCGTGATCTCCAAAAACAAAAACACAGGCTCAGTCACTTCCCACTTCCCCCAACCACCACCGGCCCCAGAACCACCAGTCTACTTCCTGTCTCTATGGATTTGCCTGATCTGAACATTTCACATCAATGGAATCATGCAATATGTGGCCCATAAGCTACGGCCCCAGGCGAGACCTCACACTCCACTCTCCGTGAGGGGAGGGGGAGGAATGTGGGGTCCAGCCCGAGGCCCTGAGGATGGGGTGAGGGAAGAAGAGGGAGCAGCAGAGGAGACTGCGGAGAGGCCGGTGAGGCAAACCAGGGCCAGCTGGGGCCGGGGCCGGTGTGTCCAGGACGCTGCTGCAGGGACTTGCCTCTCCGGCCGTCCTCGTCCAGACCCCTCGTCCTCCACCCTGTTGCTGCCTCCTGCCAGTCCCGACTGTCCCCAACCTGCCCCGTCACGCCTTCCCTCTTCTGCTGAGAAAGCTTGCCGAGCGCCAGGTTGTCTAGAGGGCAAAGGGCAGACTCCTGGCCCTCAGGAGTGGTGACATAGGAGAAAGAGCTCGAGATGGAGTCATGGGGCCCAGGGCTTTCTTCCAGGCTGTGTGACCTTGGGCAGGGCCCTTCACCTCTGCTCGCTTTGTTCAGCTCTTGAAAAAACAAGCCGATGTCCCCGAGCTGGCCGAGGAGCAGACGTGACTGTGTCCTGTGAAGTGCGGTGGGACTGGGCCCGATTCTGGCCTTGGCAGGCCAGGCGCTCCGAGCCTGGGCCAAGTCTCGAACTCCTTGGCCCCCTAAGTCCCTCCTGGTGTCTCTGGCGTTTGCCATTCTGATCTGGGCCAAGGTCTCGCTTCCTCCCTGCTTGTCTGTTGATCCCCACCCTGACATGAGACGGATCCTACAAGCCCACATCCTCCGAGAAACCTTTCCTGACCAGTCCCCAGACTCAAAACCCCAAACAGCTGATCATGTTAAATGTATGAGCCACCTCCAGAAGAGCCGACATCTTTACGGTGTTGAGTCTTCCTATCCAAGAAAGAACACAGCTGTCTTTTTCGTTTCAGTTCCTTTGGGAATGCTTCAAAGTTTTCCTTCAACATATAAATTGGTATGGGGGAGGGACCACGGCAAAGATCAGACTCCTAGCTCTGGACCCCACTCGTCGTATAACTCGCTTCCTCATCATTATGATGTGATACAAGGTCCATCTGCCTCTGAGGGTTTGGAGGAGAAGTGACTAATACATTAAAATATCAAGCACAGCCCTAGCTCCTATCAAGCAGGAGGCAGCCAATCAATGATTCTCTCTCAGCATTGATGTTTCTCTCTCTCCCTCCCTCTCTGAAATCAATAAAATAGATATTTTTTAAAGTAATCAAGCACAGCCCTGGCCGGTTTGGCTCAGTGGAGAGAGTGTCAGCCTGCGGACTGAAAGGTCCTGGGTTCAATTCCAGTCAAGGGCATGTACCTTGGTTGTGGGCACATCCCCGGTGAGAGGTGTGCAGGAGACAGCTGATCAATCTTTCTCTCTCATTGATGTTTCTAACTGTCCTTCTCCCTTCCTCTCTGTGAAGAATCAATAAAATATATTTTAAAAAAATATATCAAGCCCTAGCCGGTTTGGCTCAGTGGATAGAGCGTCGGCTGCTTGGTCGGCCCGGGTTCGATTCCGACCAAGGGCACATGCCGTACTTACTCAATTCATGTTTCTCTTCGTTGGTCCTTCCATAGCAGACAGCCTGGCTGCCATCTTCTCCTCTCTTCTTCCTCTTCTCTGGCTCGGTAGTAGTGGGATGCTCACCTTTTAGCCGCTCTGTGGCTCTGGACCACTTGTCTCAGCCTCTCTAGCACTTAGGTGTGGCCATGTGACCAGGTTCTGGCCAAGAGGATCCATGCAAGTCTCATGGGGCAGCTCCAAGTCCCTCCCCCAAGCTCCTTGCTCCTTCAATCCTTCCTCCACCGTGTGGCTGGAATTCCAGCGGCTGGTTTGGGTCAGACAGGGAGGACCACGCCCTGGGATGGTGGCCTGGTGAACTGCAGGGAGCCAGAGGCCCTGGGAAGTTAGTGGAGACAGCTGCCAAACCAGCCCGCTTGGCTTCCTCTGGGCTTTGATGGATCCCAGCCACTGTTCTCGTGGGGCTCTGTCACTTTCCTGCAGCCGCGTCTGATCCTGACACCCACTGTTCATGCCTGTCTACCGAGCGGCCCATCCCACATTCCCTGGCATCTCTTTTTCTCCAGAATTCAAGGGGCCTCCGAAGCAGGTGCCTCTCCAAAGGTGAGCGAAGACATCCAGAGGTGCCCCCACGGCTTTCTCTCAACTCCCCTGTGCCTAGAACTCTCCTCCCCGCCCATGCTCCCTGCCTGTACATTCCTGCAGGGGGTGGAGGCGGGTGTGGGAGAGGGACATCAGCTCACTCTGAGCCAGAGCGGGGTAGCGATTCTTTCGGCCCCCTGCACACCACAGCTTACTGAGCATTTTGAACATGGGCCTGTGCCAGGTACTGGAGACGGAGATCATCAGAAATTTACCTGGGAGCTCAAGATGTGTGGCTGTGGAGCGGGCGGGAGAGGAGAACCACACGTGGATGGGGTCAGGAATGGCTTCACAGAGATGCTGGGGGAAGGGAACATTATATATGCAAAAGCACATGCATTTAAAAAAGACAGGAAATAGCAGGTATGGAGGGGATGCGAGGCATTAGAACCCTCATCCATTGTTGCTGCAAATTTAAAGTTGCTGTGGAGACCAGTTTGATGATTCCTCAAAAAGCTAAACAGCCCTCACCGGTTTGGCTCAGTGGATAGAGCGGCGGCCTGCGGACTGAAGGGTTCCGGGTTCGATTCCGGTCAAGGGCATGTACCTTGGTTGCGGGCACATCCTCAGTGGGGGGTGTGCAGGAGGCAGCTGATCAATGTTTCTTTCTCATTGATGTTTCTGACTCTCTATCCCTCTCCATTCCTCTCTGTAAAAAATAAAATAATTTTTTTTAAAAAAG